GAAGGGAAGGATTGACCTCTGCACCTGAATCTTCATGAAGCCATTCCGGAGAACCCAACTTCTACAAAACATGGATTCCCAATTCTAGTTATATTTGTAAGGAAAGGCGAGAGGCATTGATTAGTTCCCCGAAGGAAAGGATTGACCTCTGCGTCCGCTTCTTCACTGAAAAGAGAGAGCAGACCCTAGGTTAAAGAGCACAGATGCCACGGAGGGATACACACCACAAACCCTAGTGGACATGATCCAATACCTGATCCAATACCCAGCACTGATCAGGCTCTCCATACCCCCCCCACACTCCCCAATGGAGCGAGAGCGGTACCAATGGCAAGTGAATTAGCAGTCTGCTTTCTCTCAGACTGTAATTGTTTTTATCTTTATTTTTGTTTTGGATCGTATTACAGTAGGCCGCAGGAGGAGATTCCAGGTCAGCACCACGTTACACACCAGCAAAGGTAACGCGCAGGAGGAGATTCCAGGTCAGCACCAAGTTACAAGCATATTCCTCCGCCAACAGTCCTCACCTATAACCGTAGGGGCAAGGCATTTAAGCGACGAATGATCAAAAGACATCCCAGGCACTCCGTCGGCGCCTCCACTGAAACTCGACCTTGACTAATGATAGCCTCGCTCCCAACACCCTCTCCTCCAACCAACCCCATACCCATCGACACACGGTCATCACGAACCAACCCACTCTCATCTCCCCGTCCCCTTCGCTGAGAAAAGTCCAAGTTCTATCACCAGCCAATGGAGAAGGGGCGACCGGACAAGACCAGAAATCATTACCAACAAGAGGAGACACACCGACTCCATCCACCAAAGAGGGCCGCAGCAACGCACCCCCAGCACTCACCTTCCCAGCAGCTACCCCCACGGCCAGCATGCTTAGCATAGTCGATGTCGCCTCCGTTGTTGATGTCTTCAGCGTAATTGTTGTTGCTGTTAATGTTATTGTTGTTGTTGTCGACACCATTGTTGTCGGTATTGCTGACGAAGCAGCCAGACCACACGAAGAAAGCCGCGCGTCCAATGAGAGCAGGTGAGGCTGCCGGCCTTCACCATCTCCCTGATGAGCAACGACCATAGTGTCTCGAGCCGTCTCATCAATCGAGTGATCATACCCTGCAGTCTGCCCATTTGACCCCTCCGCAAGTCGCGCCCGAAGCGCATCACACAATTCAGTGCCCTCCTCAAAAAGGGCATAACAGTGCCCTGTCAGAAGGTCTGCCTGCCTGCAGTCGATAGTGCCTTGGCTGATCCCTCCTCGAGCTCCCACACGATTTTCAGCATCCGTTCCATCACGGCCTCCAACCACCCAGCCAACGAGGTCACCCCCTGATCAACCCGTGGCCAACAAGTGGCAGTCGACGAAAGGAGATCCACCTGGTCCTGCAGGTGACACCGACACGACTCCAAGATGGAAAGCCATGCGTCCTTCTGCAAATCCTCCATTGCAGACTACACCCAGGTTTTATCGACGAGCAAATACCTCCCTATGTTATTTGTCCGCCCCCGCCCTTCGCCACAATCGTATGTGCACCGACGTGCTATCCGCCCACATACCTCCGCCTTGCACACGTCACGTCAGCGGAACCACTGGCACTCAGGCTAGAACTCCAGATAGCATTGACAGAGGGCGCCCTCGAGGATGCCGATCTGCCATAGCTGCCGGAGGCCGGGCCACGCCGCGCCGGTCCTTGGCGCCAGGTAGCAGGCACCTCTGCACCTTTGGCCAGCAGCCGGGCCGCCCGGGTGACCTTGTTTGCCCGGGCGGCCACGAGAGAACAAAAAGCGAACTAATCTGAAAAAAAACTATG